GCTGCTCTACAGCCCCTGTTCTGTCTGTTCTTCTTCTCTCTCATCCTCTTCCATTTCTCCACTTTCCTCCTTCCTCCCTCCTGCACAGTTCTCTCAGCCTCCCTTCACTGTTTCTTTTCATTTCTCGACCTCGCTCCTTCCCTCTGACAGTGCGTGGAACTGTGATGTCAGTTCCTGCAGACGTAGGTCGTCACCATTATCCAGACAGCAGGAGGGAGAGGAGGGTTTGTCTGGAGCACTTAAAGAAAAGGACAGCTGTCTGTCTCATCCTGTTCTGTCTCTTCTTCTTCTTCTTTTGTCTTCCGTACTGCCATGTTCCTGACAAGGCTTTGATGTCAGTCATTATCCGCTTGTGGGACATTAACCACTGTTTAGGATGGATTTTAATTAAGACGTCGTTATTGTGATACATGCGCACAAATGCTCCCTTGTCTCATAGTGATGCTTTTACAAAGCTTGGTCTTGTTTCCCAGCCACTGACACCAGGGTCAGAGTTAGCCAAGGCTCCAGGGAAAACGCCCTGAAAGTCAGAAATATCACAGAAATAGCTTGAAGTTAATGTAAATATTTTGTGGTCCACAAGTAGGGAATACAAAAGGTTAGCTGGAATAAAAAAAAAAAATCAAATGATAAATTATAGTATGATGTTAGAGGTCTTATTCCTTGGTAAAATCAAATGATAAATTATAGTATGATGTTAGTTCGTATGAGGTCTTATTCCTAGGTAAAAACATTTTTAAAAGGCTAGCACAAAGAGAAACAAAAGCTTTTGAAAAAAATTAAAAACAGACATTTCTAGAAAAAAATCTAACAAAATTTGCTAATGGTTAAAGATTTTTTAATGAGTTTTTTTTTTTTATAACCAATCGTCCAATTCATGATTAAGATTTTTTAATGAGTTTTTTTTTTTTTAACCAATCGTCCAATTCAACATTTTTTCCCTTTGGCATTTGGAATCACTGTGGTGTGTGAAACTGTGTGTGCGTTTGTGTGTGAGAGAGAGATAGAGAGACAAGTCTGACAGAAAAAAGAGACAAAAATGGAGTGCTCTGTCCACTACTGATGGGAAAGTGGTGAATTAGACTATTGTCCTCTCATTACAACCACTTTTCTGTAGGCGGAGGCAGCTGTTAATCTTGGCGCACGAACCGCTGCTGCCTTTGGATTATCCCACACGCACACAAACTCACACACACACACACATACACACACACTCTCAGAGTATTTGGTGGTAAAATGTTGTGACCAGTAGCCTTTAAATTGCTGAAAGCAGCCACTGTCCGTCACCGTTGTTAGCATCTGTCAGCTCTGGTGTCTCTGACTGGCCTCGTGCAGTGATGATTAACCTCCATCATCTCTACTTCTGTCCCTGTCCCCTTACAGATGTCCTGAGTCAGTCCTTGTGGCCCGGAGAGCAGAGTGCTGATGGGACCTGCTGCGCCACCATGAGCTTACAAGATGGCGGCTGCAGCTACGCCAGCAGCGCCAACATGGCCTCCGCTAGTGGCAGCATGCGGCGGCGCCTGGAGGACCAGGAATTCACCTTGCGGGTCTACCCGGGCTCGCTGGCTGAGGGCACCATCTATTGCCCTGTCACGGCCCGCAAGAACACCACGGCCGCCGAAGCCATCGAGTTCCTCATCGACAGGTTACACCTGGAGCGTACTAAATGCTACGTGTTGGCCGAGGTGAAGGAGTTCGGGGGTGAGGAATGGATCCTGAACCCCGGCGACTGCCCTGTCCTGCGGATGATGTTGTGGCCACGAAGTGCGCTGGAGAACCGTGGCGGGCTAGGCAGTGGCGATGACTACCGCTTCCTTTTGCGGGAGAAGAACCTGGACGGATCTATTCACTACGGAGGCAGCCTGCAGATGTGGCTGCGGGTGACCGAGGAGCGCCGACTTATGGTGGAACGGGGTTTCCTGCCCCAGCCTGCAGGAAACAACCCTCCGACCGACCTTTGCACTCTCCCAGAGCTAACGGAACGTGCACTTTTGGAAAGCTTACGTGCACGTTTCCGCCAGGAGAAGATCTACACCTACATTGGTAGTATTCTTATTGTGATTAACCCTTTCCAGTTCCTGCCGATCTACAACCCTAAGTATGTCAAACTGTACGACAACCACTCCCTGGGGAAGCTGGAGCCTCATATTTATGCTGTGGCTGACGTGGCCTACCACGCCATGTTACAGCGAAAGAAAAACCAGTGCATTGTCATTTCTGGTGAAAGCGGATCTGGGAAGACGCAGAGCACCAACTTCCTCATCCACCACCTGACGGCACTGAGCCAGAAGGGCTTCGCCAGCGGGGTGGAGCAGATCATCCTGGGAGCTGGGCCCGTGTTGGAGGTAAGAAGTGTTTCAGTCTCCTGCTCACTGCCCGCTCCACGTCTTTAAAATAATTTTAAGTCAGAATTCTGTGAGTGACAATGCATCATAATAATAATAATAATAATAATAATAATAATAATAATAATAATATATAATTATTATTATAATACATACATTTTGCTATTAGCCATGCTGTGGCTAACATTAAGCTATTCTTGACACACCTTTGGCTAGCCTCAAGGTATTTTTGGACTACTAAAATATATCTCCCATTGAGGTGGATAAGTTAGTACACTTAGACTCAAAGGGTTGTGGGTTCAATTCCAGACATATAGTGATGGTGAAAATGGTAAAAAGCTTTTGTTCAGAGCTGTTTGAGTGACTAGCAGGACTGGAAAAACTCAATGTGAGTACAACTATTTACACACGCTTTTTTTTAACTCTTGATATTTGACATCATTTGCATTATGTGCATTAGAAAAGTGTTTTAAGGTGCTCCATGTCATATATATTTCTTAAACTTTTTTTAAACTTTCAGTAGAAAGAGAGAAGCCTTGGTGTAATGAGTGACTTCATCACGTGTGTCTTGCCCAGTTTTATGAACCCCAACCTTGAATCTCAGCATAACTGATTATTATGTCTATTTTTTTAATGCCTGGACATCCCTGTAACATGTTTTATGGTAGGTGCAGTACATTTGCAGTACATTTGCAGTACATTTGCAGTACATTTGCAGTACTGTTGCAGAACCAAAACTGAACATGATTCATGTGTTCTGAATTAGGAGCCTCGTTGTGGAAGGAAGTGACAAAAGCCTGGTGAAATTTGAGAAGTCAGTGAGTTACTTCTCTGTCGGTGGAATGCCAGCCTTTGAGACGAGCCGTGAAATGGATTATAGAAATGTCCTTCTGAAATGGGATTGCCACGTCCAGGAAAAACTATTTTTAGCCACGGATGTACTGCATATAAATCCGGTCTATAATATTTGACCTAGAAACTGCTTTTTTCCTGTAGTGTGTCCAAAATCTGCATTCCCTAATCCAACCTGGATTAGAGCTCAATCATAGATTATGAAAATTCATAGGGAGTTCAACACTTCTCTGAACAATTTGTCGCTCTCTGGCTGCCATTTTTGTAATTTGCAGTTTCCTGTCAGGACATATGGGAATGTCCTGTCAGCATGCAGCTGTGCGTGTTGACACCACGTGTGTCCCGTGTGGACGCCTGTACTGTGCAAATGAGACTGTTGGATATGGATCTCCTCTAAGACTCCTGTGACTGCTGCAGCCTCACTGCTGAGCTGTTGTCCTGTAGTGACTTCATGGTCCCTGGTCGATGTCAGATAACACACATAGTAAATCTCATTGTTGTCGTTGAACGTGGACATCACATGGTCAGGGTGCAGTGTTCTGCAGGTGATGATGAGATGACAGCAGAGCTGTCAGGACTCACAGGCCTGAGGTGCCGGTGCCTCTGAGGTTTCACAGACTCTCAGAGGAACTGGATACTGTTGTGTAGCATGACTTGGTTCTACTGTGTATACAGTTGTCACTTCCTCATCGGTCACCTGTCTGACCAAGGTGTGACAAACACATATACATACTGAAAAAAACAAGCACTGATTGACAAGCAGCTGTTTTCACAGACTGATTGTTGTCAGTCTTACTGATAGACAGTCAGTGTGGTGCAGTGGTAGGGTTCCTGCCTGCCTTCAAGAAGGTTTACTGTTCATGTCCACCTAGTCCTCAATCACATGTTGTCAGGAAGGGTGTCCAGTGTAAAAGTTGTGTGACCTTACATGGTTGCCCGCAGGTTGAAGACGTAGTTTGATGTCATTTCACCTCATATAAACTTTATAGACAAGGTTTCCTCCGTTTCCGACGCCCTCGACTTACATCACATGAACAACAGCTGGACGTAGACATGGTACGGGCTGTTGTTGGTGTTCCGGAGTCTGACATATTTGTATGAGATCAACTCTCTGGAGTAAAAAAAAAAAGTAAACTTCTTGCCAAGGTTAAAGCTGCAGTGCTGAACCAGCCAAATTCTTTGGTTTCCCTAAGTTGTGATGCCAATTAAAGGATCATTCTCTGGTCAGATGATAATGATGCTGCGCAGAAAGTCTGTGGACGTTTGAATGACGGCCCCGAATCAGAGACAGGCTGCAAGACTGAGGTTAAAAGACGTTTTATAAATAGATTCTTAACTCACTCCAGAATTACATTTGGACAGTTTTGGTTTGTTTCTAGTGTTGAGTAGCTCTCATTGGAGTTCAGCTAAATACAGTATATAATGGTGGTTTTCAATGGAACATCTCTAAACGTACTCCTGTCGTTACTGTACTACTGTACTGAATGAACTGTGCAGATCCTAGCAACTTTATGTTGCATTTAATAACATTGCAAAGAGCAAAGCATAGAGTTATGTGTATATATATATATATATATATATATAGTCGTGTATTAAATTAAATATTAATTTATTAAAAAATGTTCAAATGTCATCAGTCTGACAGTAAATCATTGACCGGAGTCATTTGGTGTGAAATGCATGATTAGTTTCCATAATTATTGGTTGTCCTCCCTCTATATTTTATATTTCATTGACATGATTTCTTCATCACAGACAATGGCCGCCATGAGCTACAAAGGGATTTTAATGTGTTGACAGGCGGCATCATGACACTGATAATTACTTGGTAAACAAACCACTCTGTACTTGACAGGCGTGTTACAGCTTGAATTAAAAGTCTGGATCCTGGGCCCATTACTTTCAGACACTGACAGCTTTTGTCAGAGTTGATCCTGTCCAACATCAGATTACCAAAACCATGGTTTAGAGACTTGGACTCTGCAGCAGGATTAGAATGTAGGCCTGGAGTTGAAATGTAAACACTTGTCAGGACGGATTGTTTCTTTGAGGGACAGATGCTGAGGTTGGTCTTTAATTTGAGAAGATTTGTAGAAAAGCTGGTGGAGTCAGTTTCAATCTTTTTTAAGACACATTTTCCAAGTTTAAAGGGTCAAATGAGAATCACAGTCTCAACTGAGGCCATTCTTCAGGCTCCCTGAACCTGTCCGACTTCCTGTGTGTCCATCTGAAGCTGCGTTTGTTAAGGTGTGGCACTGTTGCTGAGTGCAAGGTCAAAGTTAAGCCATAGAATAGGGTTAATAACCCAGCAAAAAAAACCCAAAACATTTCATTTCCACTGCCTTATTTTCCCAATTTCAGCATGAAAAGTAACTTTTTTTTAATTTTTTTTCCCAATTTCAGCATGAAAAGTAACATCTTTTATTTTAATTTCCTATTGCTGGAAACCATCTCAGTCCAAAGAGTCCGGTATGGATGGGATTTTTTTTTTCCTGACTGTTTGTACAAAATATGATGTCTATTTTCTGTCAGTACATGGCCTGCTTTTTGTCACACTGAGCTCAGCTGCCCCAGCTCCAGATTTCCCTTCAGATTTAGCAACTATTTTGGGCTTTACGCCCTGGAAGTGGAAAAGATAAGATAACTTTGTGAAGGACCACAGCGATGGATCCGCGGTTATTCTTGTTGTCGCACAATAATAAGGTCAAAGGTCCTCATCCTTAATCAGAAGGAAAGATCGACTTTTTCTGATGAAGTAATTGTTTTTTTTTCTTTTTATGCTTAAATTTTATACACGTCAAATAAGTCCCCAGTGAAATAATTTTTACATCAATTTTTTATTAATTTTTATACTATTGTGAGGATAACCTCTTTGTGTGTTGCAACACAGGACTGGTTTAATGGAAAGTTTATGTTGACGCCATTAGGAAAACCCAAAATAATTTCCTAGTCATAACCAGGTGCTTGATGTGCCAAAACCCACCACAGTCACCACCAGGAAATAGTTATCATCATACTAATTGTCTCGTTTCAGCCAGAAAAGCTTCACAGGCAGTCAGAGACATCCACGGTGCATCTGTTGACGTGAAAATAAATAAAGTCATTTCGGTTCAGTAACACGAGCTCACATTAGTCTGTGGTTTGCAGGGAAGGTTCAGTTGCAGCGTGCTTGTGTGTGCTTGCAGTTGTGTCTCTTTAAAGACGCCACTGTCTCCTTTAAATTTCCACGGTGAGCGTTTGCGCTGACTCACTGTGTTGGGGTTTACACAGCACTTTTCTCCTGATCGACCACCCTCAGCTTCAGATGGACGTGTAGGTGGCTGCGGCGGTCGGTCTTGTGTCGGAGTGTTTCTCAGAAATACAGCAGTGCAGTCATAGAGCAGACTGTTACCATCAGCGTGTAACATCATCTCCCAACCCTCCGAACGCCCTGCTGGCCCACTGGAACAATTTGTCGTCATGAAAATGCCTTTAATAACAGACCGCAGATGGCCAGTAAGTCCAGTGGTGTGTAATGTGAGCTGCCATTAGAGGCAGGTGACAGTGGAGATATGACTGTACAACAGGCCTGTGCTGACGGGAAGACAGCTGGCACACTGATGGGAAGGACTTGAATTCTGTGGCCTGTTGTGTCTGCTACTTTATTTATTGTTTTGCAGTCATCTGATCTGACGAGCTCTCAAGTGTGCCTTCAACTTTGTTTAAAAAAAAAAAAGACTGAAAGCTCGGTGACAGCTCAAAAGTGCAGAAAAGAAGAATTGGAGCTGGGGGAGGGTCTGGATCAGCTCATATAGGAGACAAACAGACATTTTCCTACCGCCGTCAATTGGACTTCAGTGGAAAAATATTTTGTTGTTCACTCCTTATTACAGAAAGTTCAAACAAAGGCCAAAGAAAAACTGCGAAGCTGTGAGGAATACACCTCACCCACAGAGGGCGCCATCAAAATTGAACAGGCAAAATTATAGACGTCTAATGACAATATAATTTAATAATATAATTTAGCCACATGCCCATGTCTGTTATACAGGGTTGGATAATAGAGATTCTATCAGTGTATTTAAGAGACGAGCTACGTTTTCACTGCACATAAAATATGTTCAGTTATTCGAGTCATAGGGAGACAATCAAACTTCCAAGGAAAGATGAGTCAGAAAGAGAAGACCCGTTAATCTCATCACTGTCTTGCATGTACAGTGAGCTGGGCACACTCCACGCAGGCTCGTAAATTTCCAT